CTATCCAGGACCAGGAGGTTATGAATCGTGTGTGTGTGTGTGTGTGTGTGTATTCAAGCATTGTTTACTAACACTTTAAATTTTAGTTCCTGCCACTATATACGATCTATTTTAATTGGTTAACTAAAATGTAAAGCTTCACATATAAAATAGATTTTTATGGGAAAGGTGAATCTAATATCCTGGCTTAAAATGTCATAAAAATGTGTTAAAGTACCTTTTAGTAGAGACACTTTAGCAAGAGGTTCATTTAGGTCTTGCTCATCCATTTGGGCATCTACAGAGGGGAGAAAGATAATTATAGACCATATTGAAATCTGTCAGCAAGCTATTATCAAAATAAATCATATTTTTTCTTGGTCTTTTTGAGACAGGGTCTCCCTGTAGCCCCAGCTGTCCTGGATTCACTATGGAGACCAGGCTGGCCTTGAAATCACAGAGATCCGCCTGCCTCTTAGTGCTGGGATTAAAGGTGTGTGCCACCATGCCTGGCTAAAATAAATAAAATTTAGACACATCCTATATTCAGATGGTTGAAAATAGTTTTAACAACATATCTAAGATTCAAGAGAACCTGAAGCATGAAAGCACTGCTTTTTCGTTAAAGACAAATTCTGAACTCTCCATTCAAATTAACCAACATACCTAAACCTCCAATAGAATCACCAGATTTGTAAGCATTAGTTTAAAAATCACCTATAGTGTCGTCGCTGCTTTTCTCCTTGCTGGGACTTAGGGTATCTGATAAGTCAGATTCCTTTGCTCTTGCCTGGTTTTCTAGAGAGAAAAAATAAACAAAGGTAAAAATATAATTGTAATTCAACACCTTGTATCAAGAAAACTACATTAGGCATGAATGCGCAAAAGCTACAGCTATGCAAAATAGTTTTAAAATCAACTGAGATCACTGAATCGGTTTCTTTTTTGCCACCTTCATACAAAATGCAATGCTAGTTCTATTTCGTGGAGTTCTTATTGAATTATAATGTGGATCATGCCTGCTGTGGAGGGCTGGACCTTTTAATGGAATCTGTCCACTTGCCAACTGGGAAACAAAAATGAAGACAGCTTTGTTGAAGTAGTCACAGAACCGCAACAAGTATAGCAAAATTCCCAGGACAATGTGGACACTGTCTGAAGCCTATGTAACACATGACTAGCTAGAAGGTTACCTTCTTAAAAAAAAAAGTCATAATCACAATTAAAAAAGCACCACTTAAGATGAATAGCCCATTTCCAAAGAAAACACATCCAAACCTGAATTGTAGAGTGAGGTGGGAAATAACAGCCCTGAAGTTGAAGTTGTTTTCAAGAGATGTTCTGCCAAGCCTAATGATGTCACTCTAGGCCTAGTTTTCAAATAATTGCTCTCAAAGATCCCAATTATTAGGTTAACAGTTTACTAGAGATTACCAGTAATTAAGTCCCAGATCCCCATCGATAATAGCATATGTATGTATGTTAATGGCATTCTTTAGGGTAGAGTTTACAGAGGTCATTTCACCAACTAAAACCCTACAGCATCTTCTCCAGGACTTAGTCAAGCTTCATATGGCAGAATCTAACCGTAATCTGGTCTCTGCACTGATTCCTACAGGAGCTCTGCTTCAGTCACTCAGGATTCCTTAGAGGGGCTGCATTCTTTCCCTAACTTCAATCTCTACCGCACCTCTTCATTCCACACACGCAGCGTATGCCCCATGGCCTCTAAGGAAGTTATAATTTCTCCAGTATGTTGCTTTTTTATTACAAATTTCTATCTTTTTTCTCTCTGCAATTATTCTCCATTTTGTATCTTTCTGGGTGTATGTACATCTTAATTCTCTAGTGGGATGATGACATCCATTAAGTAGGCTATCATAAATTATAATCATAAATTAATATATCATGTTATATGTTGACTGTATGTTTGTAGCTACATACCAAAATGTAAAATGTGCAATTCCACTTCTACTTTTTGTTAAGGAAATAATGGGCTATGTAAAGAGTTATATAAGGATGCTCATTACAGCACTGATCATTATGGGAAAATGAAATGCATACTGAAAAAATTCAATATATATTTACAAAGTAAATAACAGTATGTATAATATAAACCTATATATACTAAAAATAGTTATGCACTTTCTTGGATACTTCTTAACCATTTTTAGTTCTTCTTTTGAAAATTGTCTGGTCAAGTCTGTAGCTCCTTTTTTTTTTTTTTTTAAATGTGTATGCATGTATTGCCTGCATGTAGGTAAGTGCACCCGTGTCATGCAATGCCCATGGAGAACAGAAGAGGCTGTAGGATCACCTGGAACTGGAGTTATGGACAGCTGCCATGTGGGTGCTGGGATTCGAACCTGGGTCTTCTGCGAGAACAACCAGTGTACCTAACCACTGAGCCATCTCTCCACCCCCCTGTAGCCCATTTTTTAATTGGGTAGCTTATTTTCTTGATTTTTTTTGTTTTCTGAGTTCCTTGTATATTGTGGATATTAATCCTCTACCAAATGTGTAGCTGGCAAAGAGTCTCTTCCACTCTGTGGGTTTCCTCTTCACTGGTTGTGTCCTTTGATATACAGAAGCTTTTTAGTTTTATGAAGTCCCATTTAACAATCATCAGCTTAATTCCTGAGCGAATGGAGTCCTATTCAGAAAGTTCTTTCCTGCACCTGCACCTTGTAAGGCTCTGCCTATGTTTCTTTCTAGTTTCAGTGTTTCAGATTTCACACTGAGGCCTTTGATCCATTTGAAGTTGATTTTTTTTTTTTTGGTCTTTTTGTACAGGGTAAGAGAGAAGGGTCTAATTTCATTCTCCTACATGTGGACAGCTAGTTTTCACAGCACCATTTCTTGAAGACGCTGTCTTTCCTCTGGTGTGCAGCTGCTAGATAGTATTTTTTAGACATGCTTGGGATGTTGCACCCATGAAATCTTAACAGCATGGTTGCCTAAACAAGGCCTGCATAATGACAACAGCAGTAGTCATACCAACATGGATGGGTGAAATTTCACAAGACCCTGTCCCTAGAGGCAGACCTACAGGCAATCAATGGCTGCTGAGAGAGAGAGAGAATCTGTTTTCTCTAAGGACAAGCCCCTTGATAGGTTATCCAATCCCCAGTGGTCAGCCCTAAACACATGTACATATAAGCAATACCAAATGGACCCAGTAATATATATATATATATATATATATGTAACAATAATAATTGTAAGTGATGATTCCGAGACAGAGTGGGGCCATGCGAGGAGTTGGAGGGCAGAAAAGGAGGGATGGAAATGGTAGAAATAAAATATAGGTCTCATATGTGGAATTGTCAAGAAAAAAAATTAAATAGTTTACATTTAGTTATAGTTATTGAGTTTTTGTTTTATTTTCCCTGTTGTTTTCTTTCTGAGATAGGTCTCACCATGTAGCCCATGCTGGCCTGAAACTCATGGTGCTCTTGCTGAGCTAGTAATTGCTGGGATTACAGTCCATATCCAGCAAGCTATGAAGTTTTAATTGCACATATAATTTTCAAGGTCTGGGAGCGTACATAGCAAGTATTAATGGCTATTGATAGAGGTGGGTTCATAGTAGATATTAACTTTACTTACTTATACATTTGAAATTTGCAATTCTTGTAGTGGCTATAAATTGTCTCACAATCAATTTAATTACTTTCCATTCTGAAATTAGAACTATATCTAAAACCACTAGTATTATCAAAATATGTAACAGAACATTAACTGTAACTTTCTATGGCTACAGAAGGCTTCTATTATATATTAGGGCACTTTAGAATTTGTGACATAACTTGTAAAATGGGTGATAAATTATAAGAAACACTTTGCTTCTTTTTGCACTGTGACTGCAAATGGCAAGAGAGGAGTATTTTCAAAGGATTCTTCCAGCTTAGTAGAAACTTTTATTCCACATTTAGAGTTTTAGGTGGAACTTAAGAGTTGAGGCACCAAATTTTCCACAAAATTTGTGGAAAATAGATCTCAGTAAGATCTATTAAAGCAATGATTTTTATTTGTTTCATTAATCACTATATTCTCACTGCACAGAATAGGCCAGAGAGAGAAAGAAAGAGAGACACAGAGAGAGAGACAGAGACAGAAAGTCAGAGAGACAAAGAGAGAGAGAGAGAATGAATATGACTCATGTGTGGTGGTACTTGCCTATAGTCTCAGTTTTTAGGGGGTTGAAGCAGGGAATCACATGGGGAGCCTGAGCTACATAGTCAGGAAGTGAGAACCAGACTCAAATGGAAGGGAGGGAAGTAGGGAGAGAGAAAGTTGACTGAAGATACACATTTACAAGTTTTCAGTGAGTCAAATCATTGTCATTGTGTCCTGATACTAGAGTTATTAGAGAGAAGCAAACAAAATCCATTCAAGAACAAAACATAAGACATAACAAACAAATGACAAAACATCTACTTCTTTTAAAAATTCTATTTTTAGTAATGAAGTGGTGCCTAACTTTCTAGTATGAAAAAGTCATTACGGGGACTGGAGAGACAGGTCAGTGGTTAAGAGCTTGTACTGCTCTTCTAGAGGACTGGAGTTCAGTTCCCAACACTCACAGTAGACAGCCACAACCACCTGTAACTCTAGCTCCAGGGATCCAACATCTGTTTCTGGACTGCGTGCGCACCTACACCCACGTGCACATACCTACCCACTGACCCATATATATGTATATTTTTTAAGTAACAAAAACAAATCTTGAAAAATGGTATTTTAAAAGTGATTGCTACTCCTAGCCTGCACTACTATCCTCAGGCCTCTTGGGGTAAGTCTATAGCGCAGCTCTCCGCACCGGGACTCCCTAAGCCTCATTCACCCTTCCATCCCCCCCCTCCGCCCCCGCGCCGTTCTATACTCCTAGTTTGGACCCTGCACCATTCCTAGTCTTGGGACCCCAGACACCTGGGGAACCAATACTGCTTCCTGACCCTTCTCA